CCCCACACACAATTTCAGTCTTCTGTATATCCCAATATGGGCCCCTCAACATCCAGCCTTAGCCTTGATCTAGGAATGTCGGAAGATTATGAACCAACTGACCCAACTTACCATCAACCACAGTATCACCAAACCACCCAACATCCTCAATATCAAACACCCCAAGATTCATTTCCTTTCTACCCCCCGTACTCAGACGATCAATGCTACAGACCCACCATGGAACCCCATCCACCGCCAATACGACCAAACTTTGAGGGTATGGGTAACCGATTGTACCAAAGAGGGTCTTCTAGATATGGAGATCTGACTGATTTCATGGATCCGTAACGCATTGACTTCGTTGGGCCATCGACCCTGCCACAGCAGGAAACGCGACGACACCCAGCACGGGAAAAGCGAGGACGGGGATGCGGAACCGGGAGTCATTATCGGGTTCCGGGGGACCACTGATTAATCTATTTTTTTTAATCTGTTTTTTTTATGTAATACTTATGGGTGTAATCATTTTTTGTAAATAAAAAGTCAATTTTGTTGATCCTATATCGAATACACAACGCACCAGATTGAAAAAAAAACGCGAAAATTGCCCTAGCAAATGCACTAAGGCGCCATCTCACTTGGCTTAGGGCAAGCCCTAAGCACCTAGGCGCCAAGTGAGATGGCGCCTCCCCTTAAAAAGTAGGTGTAGGCGCCAAGTGAGATGGCTCCTCCTTTGGGGAGTCATCTGAAATATAGTTATTTGCGTAATTTTTTCCGAAACATGGTTATTTGCGAATTTTTTTTAATACCTGATTATTCCAAAAAAAAATTCCAAACTTTTAGATTAATCAATATTTTGCATTAGCTTGATTTGATGGTTTGGCAAACCTGAAATCCTTAAAAGAGGTAAGAAATTCAGAGCTTAGTAGTCGTGAATGATGCTGCACTGGATAAAGTGAGTTGTAACTAAAGTAGTTGTTTGGAAATTGTTGTGGATTGTTAAGCAGATACAGATGCATTAGCTTGAAGATACAACGGGAATACGTGGTAGCAGACAGAGAAAGTAGTTGAGTTATATATTTTACAAAGAAAATGGAGATGTATTATATAATATATAATAGGTAAGTTGACATAGTAAACCATTATAGCTGCAAACAGGTGAGTTGACAGAGTAAAGTGTTATGTAATACAAAATAGGTGAACTCACATGGTTTAGTATGGGAAAGAGATTTTGTTTATAAGATATAATGTTATAAAAGGTCATTAATAGTGGTGCGGTTTGAGCGGTTTTGAAGCAAAAAATCATCTGAACTGTAAGAGAAAAAAACACGCGGTTCGGTTTGGTTCGGTTGACTTTTAAAAATAAATCCGAACCAAACCAAATCAAATTAATGCGGTTTGGATTAGTTCGGTTGTTTCGGTTTTTTACAAAAATAACTATTATGTCATACATACAAATATATAGGAAAATATAATTTTATATTTAATTGTTCATACATTACCATAAAAAATTTATAATTGTCAAAATAAATTTATAATTTGATACATAAAATTGCGTATTATAATTTTATCTAAATCTAAATAATGATATCAACAGGATTGCATTCTTAAATAAATATTATACAAAGAATATGATAAAATATATTTTGTGAAAATAGTATTTATAAATGAATAATATTTTATTTTTTATGATTTGTAAAGTAAAATGAATATAATACAAAGTATGATAAAATATACACATAATATATGTTGATTTCTCTAAAGAATTATAGAAATATATATTGGTTAGTAAGATTTTATAACATAATGCGGTTTTGTTTGGTTTGATTCGGTTTGTAAAATACAAACCGCAAATCGAACCGAACCATGCGGTTCCACGAGAAAATGACCCAAACACATCCGAACTCAATACGGTTTTTTGCAGTTTTGGTTTGATTCGATTCGATTTTCCGATTTTCTATTGGACCGATTTAATTTTGAACACCCCTAATATCACTATCACATAGGCAAAAGTATGTGATTGTTTGGATAACCAAGGTTGTGCATTGATTGAAGTGTTGTAGGTACATTGGTAATAACATTTAGTTAAAAGTAATTGTCAATTCCTGGGACAATATATATTCAACTATTAGATTATTATATAGCATAGAAATGATGTTTATATTTTCCTTATAATTGGTTTTGTAGATAGTTAAAACCCAATAATCCATCATAGGAGAAAATGATGTACATCGTGAGTGCTATATGAGAATAATCCAAAAGTTTACCATGTTAGAGTTTGTCTCCAAAGATGGCTACTTATATTAGTCTATTATTAAAGGTTCGTATAATAGTGCAACAGTGTTGTCTTGTGTCCAATAGCATGGAGTGTTACTGTTAGAGCTTTAAAATAGTGCAACAATGTTGTGTTGTGTCTTGTTGCAATGTATGCGAAAATGTAGCGGTAAAAATTTGAGTTTAAATTAATAATTGACTTAACTCATATCAATGAAAATCGTCACTGTATTTTATTGTTTCCAAAGAGAAAATGAGAAAAGAACAAATAAAACTCAAAATGAAATAAAATAAAGATCAAAGTACGGGGATCGGTTATATAAAAGGAAAATATTAACACCCTAAATATTTACGGTACTCTGCATGATCCACTTTATTTATTTTAAACAGAAAGTGTGTTATCTAAAGCTTAAACTTTCTAAAATAAATGAAAGAGTATTTACAAACAAAAGAAATAATTTTATTATTGCGTCTGTCACGGTTGCGAATCTTTGTGCATATGTACCCCCTTCGTGCAATAAGTGATCAGGACACTCGTAATTCTTCTAAAAAAGAATAAAATATGATATCCACACAGACAGACAAAACCAAGAGATATCGGAATAACAATTCCAAAGCATTGGATGAACTAAGAAACACAAGTCAAACGATCATAATCATACCTCATAAATCAAGTAAAAAAAAGTCACAAGTATACGAATGAAACATGGTTTAACCGTTTAATCGATTAATTAAGAATTGATTAAATAAATTAACCATATTAAGAAAAATCAATTATTAAGAATAATCAACATTAATTAACAAGAATCAATTGACTAAAATAATATTTAATTAATTAACTAAAAAGTTTAAACACGTGTACAAGATACAATCGAAAGAAAGCTACTAAATGGATAAATGAAATATGAAATGAAAGTTTAATCGATTAATTAAGAGTTGATTAACTTAATTGATCAAATTAAGAAAAATAAATTAATAAACTAATCTATTTTTAATAACAAAATAAAGTAAATAATTCAACGCTAGATTAATCGATTAAAAGCGAATAAAAGTTGAGAAGAGGAAGCGGCCACTTGAGTTATCTTGAGAACATGCACAAAACAACAAACAAGTTAGTAACATATAAATTGAAAACAAAACCAGATGAAAACTTGTAAGATGAACACTTTTCTGAATCAATAATCAAAATCATATAGCATGAATTCATGTTGTTTCTCAAATCTCATTCAAAATATGCAAAAAGTAAAGTTCGAACCAAACTTTATCATGTTATTAATAACCGGGCAGCAACAACAACAAGCAATGATATTTCATAATTTCATCAAACATGAAGACAAAATCATATACTAAATACTCATGCTTTTACTCAACATAAAATACAAAATTGAAACCAAGTGTTCACTTCAATGTTCCATACAAAACAACCAAGTAAATCAATGATGATTATGAATTTTAAATCACAAATGAGAACAAGAAGCGAAGAAATCATGCTATCGTTCAATTCGAATTCGAAACATGATAAATCAGGTTCCGAGCAAGCTATAATTCCCTAAACCAAAATTGGGGCAGCCACTATGCAATCTTAATAACACTCCACAAAGTCCATCTCAAACGATCAAATTCAAACTCGAAAACCAAGAGATGTCATAGCCAAGTTTACCGTTCAAAATCTAATCAAATTGCACAACGACAACCAAGATTAATCACAATTAAACATGATATGCATTCTAATTCATAAAAGTTATCATGCTTTTTCAATTCACAAGTGGAAACAAAGGTCAAGAATTAGCATTATTACTCAATTTAAGTTCAAGACATGAGAAACTCAAGTTCTAAACAAACTCTAGCCAACCAAACCGAATATGGGCAGCAACTAAACATATGAAACAAGGCTAAAAAAAATCAATCTCAAACATATTTAGCACAAACGGAACCAACAAAATAATGCCAATCAAATTACCTCTTGAATTCCAAACGAATTGTTCAACAAACGCCAACCAAATCTCCTTTCAATTATCTCAAACAACATGACAACAATTAAGCTTCACTCCGCATCAAAATCACGAATAGTATTGTCATTACAAATTCAAAATTGAGATCCTTGCGAATTTACCACAAACCAAACTTTATTCAAATTTAATTCCCACAATACAGTATCGACACCGAAAAATCACACACAACACCATGAATCCAACACAAACTTCCACGATTAACTCAAATAAAGTGGTATTGTCAATGAAAGAGTTATTCAATTTAAACCAAACAAACAAACTTCAAACCTCAAATAAACAAAACAAATTCATCGTCGTGACATCAAGGTTTTCATTCCAATTCAAATCAAACCAAACCAAAATCAAAACTATTAGATCACAATATTATCAATACTCCCTCATTTAAATCAATCAATACAGCCCATAAATTATTTAAATAAAAAAAATTGAAAGTGATGAGGTTGAACTTGCATCAACCAAAACTAAATACTCACTTAGGATGTAGAGACATACACTTGGATTATCATCTCCATAGAATCCTATCCTTGAATTGTTGGGATGGTAATACTTGCAGTGAAAAAAAAGAAAAACGAAGTATGTTTATTGTTTATTCATTGAATTATTTAAGTTGAATTGGCGTATTTGTTAGTAGTCCATGTAGGAGGATAGTAGTTTCTATGGGAATTTACACATTTCTTCCTCCAATCATGATTTATTCTCAATCTAGTGATGATGGCCATGAGAAGTTCTGACCTATTGGTTGTTAGAGTTGCGATGATTTGCTTCGGCTGAGGATGGTTTAGCATGTAAACCATGACCATGTTTCTCATTCTTCCTTGCTTTAATTATATGCAAATCATCTTCAACTGATATAACTACCGCTTGTTGTCCAAAAGGACCAGGAACAATGGTTTTGTTGCCCTTTTTATGCTCATCGATATGTATGATGGCTGAGGATGATTTGGCATGCAAACCATGGTCGAGTTTCTCTTTCTTCCTTGTTTCATCTATACATGCACATCATCTTCAACTGATATAACTACTGCATGTTTTCCAAAAGAACCTGGAGTAATGGTTTCCTTGCCCTTTTTATGCTCGTCGATATGTATGATGTTGGTTTCTTGTGTCTTCTCATTCCCCTTCTTAAAGAAGCAGAATAGTGCAAAAGTAAGCAAATAAAGAAAGACAAGGCCTCTAGCACAGACAACTACTAAGACTATGGGTTGAGTTGAGGCCATCTTTGTTCTTCTGTTGTGTCAATCAATTGATGATTTTAGCAAAATGTTGGTTTTCTGTGTGGATGCTGTGGTTTAGGTGCCCATTTGAAATGTGTATTTATAGTAAATACTTGGTATAAAATTATGAAATTGTTTTAGTAACTTGACTCTCATGCAAAGTTTCAGAAGGGTTGTTTGCAGTGAAAAAACACTTCTCTTCATGCTTCCTGGATGATTTTGCTTGTTGATCTGTTTTTCCTGGCCGTTTTTTTTCCATCAAATATGTTTTTACTTTTTTTAAATATGAACATGTCTGAATGTGTGTTAGTTGTTATAACTTCACCCTGTTTCATTGATTCAACCTATTCCTTATCTTTTCATTTAACTAGCTTTCTTCATGTCATCTATCTTACTTTTATAGATTTGTCCTACAATACCTTGTTCACTAATATATTGATAAAATATAGTGAATGATACCATTGGAGAAGGAAATTGAAGTAGTTTGAGTTGAACTTTATATATGTTATTTGTAGCGGTAGAAATGTTGAGACTAAGCCATTGGATTGACTTAACTCGCACAGATCAAAGAAAAATTGCTACTGCGCTTTATTGTTTCTAGAGAAACGGAAAAAGAGTGAATAACTCAAAAAGAGGGGAGAGAGAATCTAGATATGGGGGTTAGTTATGCAAAGGGAAGATATTAGCACCATAAATATCTACGGTACTCCGTAGGAATGTCTTTGAAAATTTGTGTATTTTGGCTATAAGTGTTATATACAAAAATAGATGGTGGAGATGAGAAAAGAAGTATTTTTTATAATTTTGCACCCGCCGCAGTTGCAAACATTTAGTGCATACGTACCACCTTCTGTGCAATAGGGGATTAGGGTACTCGTAGTTCACCTTTAAAAATTTTAAAACACAATGTAATACGTAGGGAGAACTAACTTTTGGTTTTGCGTTTTTATCGCAAATGTTGTGGATAACAAGAGTCGCCACCGAATAGGGAAATTGTGAAAAGAATAGGAAAGACCTTCGAGATTTATTTGAGTTCAGGGGTAAGTTATGAAAAAGGGAAGGTGTTAGCACCCTTTTCATCCGTAGTTATCTACGGACTCTTAATCGCTTGTTTATTTTATTTGTTTTGTGCGTATGCTTATGAAAAAGTTTCGAAATGCCAAATAGCAAGGCAAATTGCTTTATGATAACTCTTATATCAGTCCTCAAGAGTGTTGATAAAGCGTTTTAAAAATATTTTTGAAAGTGTGAGGTGTGAAAAAGTTTTTTAAGTTGTGAGCAAGCAATTAATAGTAACTACTCACTCCAGGTCTTTCTTGTACTTTTCCTCCTCCTTTAGATAGGGCTATTTATACCATTAGTTAGCAGGAAACCCTATCTTTGGATGTTCGAGGGACAGGTGTAGGGTCGTTGTTATGGTCATTGAAGGCAACATGTAGGGATACCTTTAGCAATTTAAAGGGACGTCATCATATATTCGCAGGCAACATCGAGGGACAAGATCATATACCGTAGGAAATTTCGAGGGACATCGATGGACTATAATCTTTATGATGATTTATGACTGAGGGACTTTGCTAATGGTATCCCCAGGTTCGAGAGACATGACCATTGTTTTTCCGAGGCAACGAGAGATGTTACCCTAGAGGTGAAGTGTGCAAAGTGTGCTTGATTCAATTCATTTATCTTGCAATTAGAGTTTTCTATCATTTGATTTTTATCTTGCCATACAATCCTATTAAACTAGACAGTTATAAGGAAAGCAGTAAAAGCAGAAAATAAATGTCCTATGCTATTACAAAGTTTCGGGTAAGGGGGTACAAACCACAAAAATTGGGGGAAAGAAAGCAAATAAATTCTAATTAATCTATTATATTCCGTAAACAGTTACAATAATAGAAAAATTAATAAAATACGCGGCAGTAATAACATATACGCGAAATTATAAAAGGAAAAGAAAAGAGAAAATTGGTTTTGATTGTTTGATAAAAAAAGTTTGATGATTAACCTAAAACCTATTTGATTTTAATTAATAGAAAAAGTTAAGTAATTAAATTAAATAAAACCCTAAAATCTAAGTTGATTTTAATTTAATTAAGAAAACTAGTTAATTAGTAAAAACCTACAAATAATTAAAATTTAAAATTAATTAACTTAAAATTAATTAACCTAAAATTGATTAATCTAAGAATTAATTAACTTAAAAATAAAATTAGATTTTTTTTTTAATTTGTAAAAAAACAAAGGTTTGTGAAAAAAATTTCTTAGTTAAGTGAATTTAGGGTTGAAAAAGACAAATTGGTTAGAAACCAAAAACAAACATGAAAAAGTCAGGGGCGGATGTTGAATCTAAAATTAAATTAAAAACCTAAAATTAAATTAAAAAATAAAATTAACTTAAAACCTAAAATTAAATTAAATCCTAAAATTAAATTAAAAATCTAAAATTAAATTAAAACCTAAAATTAAATTAAAATTTTAAAATTAATTATTTGAGTTTATTATGAAAAATCAAAGATTTGTGAAAAATGTTAGGTTTTATGAAAAATATTTTAGTTATCTGTGACAATAGAGAAAAAAGGAGGAAAAGAGTGAGAAACATAGAATTGAAAAGAAAAAATAACCAAAAGAATCTCAGGACTTTCCAGCAATATGTTCACCGCCAGGCCAAGCGTGTCTTGGTGTTAGGATCTGACATCAGCACGTTTTGTAATAAACATGCATGGGACCATAGTTCTTGAAAGAACTTGATATTTTGATAAGGTTGTGGCAAGGTTTTTTTTTGTGTCCTTGTTTGTGTGAAAACAATGAGATTATATAATGGAAATAATAGCAAAGATATGGGTTTTGGATTTGCAATTGAGCCTCCAATAACCACAAGCAATAGTGCAGATTTTTATTCACTTGAGTCTGACACGTTCCAGGATAAATCGCAGGGGCCTCAGTATAATTTTTGAAGTTTAAATGTGAAAACAAAATGTAGCCAACATCGAGAAAAAACTCTTGTCTGAAAATGAACTCAATCGGATAAACGGTGAATTAGTTATGAACTTTTGAAGTTTTGTCTCGGACAAACTTATTTTGGACTCCAGTGTCAACTCTGACTCGTTCTTCAATAAAAAACTGGTATTGATCAGAGCATAATACGGTTTCGACTTTAGAAGCAAAGTTGTAGATCTCTGAGTCAGTGACATTGTGTAAAAAGATGGGCCCGATCAGATCAAAATTGACTGAGTTATAATTTTTTGAATACGGAGTATATAAACATACACAATTTTCCTGTGCGAAAACACTTGATAAATCTATAGTTTTGGAGACTTTATGAATGAAATTGGCTTTCGACCGTGAGAGATGAAAACGTAGATGACGTCAAGACGGAATTTTGGCCACCGAAACGGGTTCAAAACGAGCCACAGTCTTCAAGTTATGAATTTTTTAGTGCGTAAAAATTGAACTTTCAACACACTTTTTCACCATATTTCTTCGAGAAAACTCGCACATTCAGAGACCTTCTTTAAAGAATTGGCTCTCGAGCCGAACCTGAATTTGAGAATACGTTATCAGGGATATCTTGGTAAAAGAGCACCTGAATATGACGCGTCGGGTTGGACTTGTGAATCTTTGAACCCCGAATCGTTGTGAAACAACGAACCGATCTTCAGCACAGAAAATACTTTGAGAACATCCATTGGCGAAATAAACGTTACTTGTAACCTAACGAGGCTCGCTAAAGATACCTTGATCCCATAACCATAGAACCAATTATATGCGTGTATGTAATGATGAAATATAAGCCAAAAAGGTCGAAATGAAGAGGGTAAATTTTGAGGTACAACAGTTGCCCCTGTTTAATCTTTTTAAACCTGAAGAGTTAGATTGACATGTCCTCTATTCGTGACTTGAAGGTAGAAGATGATTGAACACTTAAGTGCCCTGAAATTTGCACTCGCCTGTGCAAGAGGTAACGTTGTTGGTTGAATGTACCGTGAATGGGCTTATAGATGCCATTTGGAGAGGTGATGGAGAGTCGTCGAAGATGGGCTTATAGATTCCATCCAAAGTAACTGTTGACTTCAAACTGGAAGAAGTATCAGAATAAGTTTATGGTCGATTTACTCTGAGCCAGTGGGTGCTTGTGCCCGACTTCGACTGGAAGAAGCATCAGAATAAATCTTTGGTCGATTTAATCTAATCCAAAAGAGGTCTCTTTGTCTTTAACTGGAAGAAGTATCAGAATAAATCTTTGGTCGATTTAATCTGAGCCAGAAAAAGATCTGCTGGAAGAAGTATCTGAATAAATCTTTGGTCGATTTACCCTGAGCCAGAAGATATTTATGCTCGTTTTTATCTGGAAGAAGTATTAGACTTAAATCTATATACTCGGTTTTACCTGAGTCAAAAAATGTCTTCAACTGGAAGAAGTATCAGAATATATCTACACCCGATCTAAGCTGAGCCAGAAGAAAGTCTACCGGAAGAAGTATCAGAATAGATCTATGCTTGATCTAAACTGAGCCAACAAATTTATCCTTGACTTTGACTGGAAGAAGTATCATAATAAATCTTTGATTGATTTAATCTGAGCCTGAAAAGGGTCTTCAAATGGAAGAAGTATTAGAATATATATACACTCGACCTAAGTTGAGCCAAAAGAATGTCTACTGAAAGAAGTATCAGAATAAAACTTATGGTTAATTTAAACTGAGCCAACAGATATTTATGCTTGACTTAATCTGGAAGATGCATCAGAATAAATCTTTGGTTGATTTAATCTGAGCCAAAAAAGGGTCATCAACTGGAAGAAGTATCAGAATAAAACTTATGGTTGATTTAAACCGAGCCAGTAGATATTTAGCTTGACTTAATCTGGAAGAAGTATCAGAATAAATCTATGCTTGATTTAATCTGAGCCAGAAAATGTCTACGACCGTCTTCAGTTGGAAGAAGTATCAGAATAAATCTTGGCGTGATTTAAGCTAAACTAGAAGACATCCGCGCTCGTT